TTCTATTCAAGAAACAACGAGAGCTGAGAGAAGTGCGTGCCACCAAGGACGGCAAAGCTACGGCCCTCGCTGTGGGCTGAAACATCTGGCAGCGAGTGCAGAAGGGAAATTGCGATCCAATCCAGGGGCTGGCGGGTCAACGATTTGCAGGTGATCGGCCGATTTTGACATGGAGCATTAGCCACGCCGTCGTGCTTTGATCTTCTTCCAGTCATACCAAGAACGTGATTGAAGAGGCAGGATTCGGGGGCCGAGCGACCATCTCGTGCGCACAAGAGAACGCGATCACAGTCGCCTCACAGGCTGACGTGAGAGTGTAAGGCTGAAGCCGGCATACAAGTTGATAATTGGGGGCCATTCTTGTCCACTGTTACGCGGGTGGGGTGGTTGGTTTGATGATCTCACTGCGTGCGCACCGAGTGCAAATTGTCGAGTCGCAAAGCAGGTGCTGTTGTTGCACCCCCCTCTCGCCTTGGGCAGCTCGCTTCCTCTTCTCAGCTCAATGGATGGTGTATCAATGTGGTTCGCCAGGTCAGATGATCAACCTTGAATACCAGGATCCCAAAGAGCACATCATTTCCGAATTGCATTGTCCTCTGCGCCGCCTGAGTCGAGATGCGGATGAACACTGGACGAACGCTTGGGGGGCCGGGGCCCAGGATCGACGACGAAGAATAAATAGCAACTTTGCGGGGATAAGGTTGCTGTTTGACGGGGTCTAAACCCTCATCCGTCCTACCATCACACCATCCCCTGTTCTCTTGCCCTGACCACTGGTCTTCGCCGGGACGACGGGTTGAAAGAGGGTAAACCAAACAGAAGCATTGGCCCAAGGTTTGGGGGTCCGCATCCGCATCTTTGCCACTTCTTGCCCAGTCTGTCGAGATATACCGCAAATCTGCTGGTGCAAATTGGAAGCCGCAGTGACATTTCCACGGCACAGAAATGAGAGGGGGGGGATCGACCAGGCTTCTATTCTAGGCTCGACGTCAGGGACATCCTCCAAGGCCTTGACCGATGCCGCTGAGGTCGCCGCTGGACTAGAACGAAGCGGCGTGGGAAGCGGAAATTGCCAACTGACGACTTGGCAAGTTTGTACTGCAGGCTTTGTAAGAAAGACCCTGCATATTTCCATGTCTCACGGTTCGAACGTGCATCGACCGGGTCAACCGTAGAGGAAGAGCCGTCGCGTAGAAATTGCCTTTTTGGGAGAGCCAACCTCTTTGATGGGGTAGCAGTGCTCAGTGGAATCCAGCATGACTTTCGAAGCGGTGGAAACTTCTCCTGGCTGTTTGGCGCCCTTGTCGCCACCTACCATCTGCAGTGCGATGGGCGGTACCACCCAGGCTTGGGCCAGGCAAGCCCAAGCCTGAGTTTTGCAGGGCGGATGGGGCGAATATCCTCTCTAGTCCATGACGAATCGGGAATCTATTTGAACCTGACAAAAAAGTGATGTACGTGTAGGCGTAGGTCCATCAGAGACGTGGGTAGGTATACCCAGTCAGGAAGGCGAAGAGGGCATTCGTGGTAGCGGCATGCAGCTCGATCCCGTTGGGAACAAGAGCCTCGGGGTTCGTTCAAACGTGTGAAATGACGTTGCGGATGCTATTCGAGGCGACCACGTTGTTGCCGATCGCGTTGCCTGCTGGGCACCGGGTACCGCACTGAGCATCTCGGCGGATGGGTGTGGGACCTCTGTGACCACCACCGACAATCTCGGGTAATTCAGCAGGGAGGCAGACCTGTCGTGGGGCGCTAATGACGTCTTGTGGCCCTGTCGCGTTGTGGCCCCGGTGCCTTGTCACAACGCACCCAAACAATCAGTGGACCAGGGGACGGATTGTCATGTTACCCTGTATCTACATGTAGCTGAGAGTGTCGGTGAAAGACCCAAGAATGGCAGCCAAGCCCGCCTTGCCATCCATATGTAGACTACCGTTATGGAAGTAATGCATGCAAATGTCTGTTGATAGTCAGGCAGCAGATTGACGTACAGATGGGAA